TTGTTGCTTTTGTTACACTGACGCACGGTAGATTCATCTTGCGTTTTTTTGTTGTTGCGTTTTTAGAAGGTGTTGGGATCAGATATTTCGGGTGTTGATTTCTTGGCTGGACATACTCTTACGGGGCGCCGGCAGAGCAGGCCACTAAGGACAGAATCCCACAGAACCACTATAGGAAATGCATCAGAAGACTCGCCCATCACATTTCTTTCCTAGTTCCTCTGGGCACCAAAGCTTCTTCCTTCCTGTGAAATTTCCTTCTCCAGAGGTAACTCTCTGCGGCTTTGGAACTATATGACGGCGGCGTCAGGAAATCTCAAACGTTTTCCACATTGGAGACACGGGTACGCGTTCAAAGAAGGTGGCGGTGGTACTGTTTGACCAGCAGCTCCAAAATAGGTTATGCTTTCCGTCCTCGAGTGTTGAAGGCTTGTTCAGATGATGTAGTGCCATTGATGATCTGGCGCTCGTTGCATTGGCATCGGTAGCCGTTTGGCGCTTACACCAGTGGCGCTCGCCAAGAAAGGGAACTGCAGGAAATGCACTTCCCCGAAGTTCGTGTGGAGGGTCCCCTGTTATGACGGGGTAGACTTGTGGGATGGCCAAGACATCACGGACACCAAGTTCAGGGTGGTGTTCAAAATAGGTTTGGAGGTGCTCTGTGGTGGCGGCATCACAGGCAGTGGTGGTAGAGTCGGGATGATCAGAATGATCCCCCCAAGACAACGCCAACGCACCAGAGAACCTCATGGACAAGTGATAGACGCTTTCAGATTGAGAGGGCGGTGGGATGGGAAAGTCGGGGCCCAAAAGCGGTAGAAGGCAGTAATGTGATTGGCTAATCAACCTATGACATCAGCAAATGCGTCAGCAAAGATTCAAATATACTTAACGTACCGTTTATAAAGATTACAGAGCTAGTGTGCTACCAAATGGCGGATTTCTTCTTTCGCGAAAACCGAAAGAAGGATTCCATCGCGAAAAATCAACAATGACATCCTGCCGCTCACTCGACAGTCATTATCTCAGCCAAAAGCAGCACCATCATGACCGCAACAGCAGCAGCAACAGCAGCAACAACACAAAATAAAGAAGACATGGGCTGCCAAAGTCAGAATAGGAATTCCCAGCAGAAGAGAGCATATCAACTCGCCTCCAACAACAACAACAAAAGATTGAAGAGAGCAAGAGAAGGAGCCCAAACAACAGTGGAAGGAGAGGTAGCAGAAGTCTTTGACCCAATAAAGCACTGCAAAATCTGCAAGGCTAGACACTTGGGCCTGCGTGTTCCAAAGAGAGCACACCACACTCGTTGCATCAAGAACACAAAGACCAGAGGACAAGGAGATTTGAATTCTCTTGAATAGCCTAAGAGGCAACATTGAATCGATCCGTCGAGTTGTTGTAGCCGCTTCGATCGTCCTGCTGCCGCTGTGTTGTTGTTGTGGATCGATCGGCTTCCAGCCTATCCAAACAAGAGGAGCCTGTCATGTTGGAGTAGTAGCAGCCATGGAAAAGGAGTAGCCGCTGTAAAGAGGAGCAGATAACATCATCTTGATAGAGTAAAGATATCGAAATAATGAATATTTGACCTCCGTGGAAACTGTTGTTGATGATGAGTACTTCACCATAATGCTAGCTGTATGTTGTTGCCAAGAGCCTTGCCCCTACCGAAGTAGGCACTGACTTCAAGGCAAAACAAATAGCGCAGCAATCAAGGGAGTACCGAATCGATCTGTCGAGGTGTTTGTTGTTGTTGTTGTGGAGGCGTTGCTTTCGCTTCCAGTCAGCCAGTGTCGAGGCGTCGCTTGTTGTTGTGGTAGTGCCGTAATGGTCGCTCCGATCGATCGATCGCTCCGTGGAAGAAGAAGAAAAATCATCAACCGAAGCCGACGAATCCTGTCGTCGACCGATCCATAGAACGAAAGAACAGCCGCCACTGCTGCTATCCAAACAAGAGGAGCCTGTCATGGTGGAGTAGTAGCAGCCATGAAAAAGGAGTAGCCGCTGTTAAGAGGAGGAGATAACATCATCTTGATATAGAGTAAAGATATCGAAATAATGAATATTTGACTAGCTAGCTAGACTTCCTCAAAATAATGAATATTGGAGGAGGAGGAGTTCCTTCGTTCACCACGACCGAAGCGTTGGATCCCTCTCTGCAAGTGCGACAGGCGTCGATCGATCCTCAAGCCTCACTCAATCCGACCGTCTCCAGTTCAGAGCAGAAAGCCATCCTCATTGAAATCACACCAGCTTGGGAAGGTTTTCTTCTCTCGGCCGCTGACAGTCAAGTTGGAGTGGGAGGGTTTGGTGAGAGCGAAGGAAAGGGAAAAGA